AGCAAGAAAAGTGTGCGCAAAGTGGTGCAGGATTTTGTCCATCAACAACAGTATGACTAGTGACGAGTACTGTATGTGTGCATGAAGCGCGCACTTGAATCTCATTGACACCTTTTGACACCGCAAGAGTCCAAGGATCTATGAAACACGGTGCGCTGGCAAGCCCACTGGTCCAAGCGTCTTTCAAGAAGAACTCCGGAGCCTTCTCTTCGGCGCACGTCTCAGTCCAAAGGTGCTCTGACAGGCGCACGGGCAAACCCAGCTGCGCCAAATGCACATCCGCTTCCTGCGGAAAGCAAACGATATGGACCATAGGACAGGGGACGATTCGGGCGACGGGACGATTCGGTGCGCTGCACATCCGGTCCTAAAGCATCTGCTACACTAAGGACCCTGAAATAAGGTTCTGTTGATTTTAGTGCCCACTGTCTAGGAAATAAAGCACGTAGGACCATGCAAGGGCAAAGTTGCCATCGAGAAAGCCATAGCAGTTGACGGACACTACAGGCCTCTCTCAATTTGGCAATCTTGCGGCATACACACATGTACACAGACACACACTCTGACATTGGTTTTCAGTTAACTCAATTGCCACGATGGGAAGGAAGGTGAGAAACGGTATGGTGGAGAGTCCGCAATACTTGAAGATGTTTTAACAAAAGCTGTTTCGCAAGTCTGCAGAACTCAACGGCAAACCTCTGGGGCCTGGAGGTCTTGAAGAGGAAGCAAGGCCAAAAGCTCAATGCGTGACTGCAGAAAAGGTTTAAAAAATTGAAAGGCAGGTACGTCAGTGCTGGCCGGGCACTGATATCACATCCACTTGGTGCGGTCTTTGTTAGATGAGGCACACCAAGGGATCCTCATCCCCCTGCTTCTTTTTTGCGCGCTTTGTACATGTTAAAAATTGACAAGCTGTACGCTAATAGCGATACTAGGAGCCTTTAGTAGCGAAACCGGGGGCGCTCTCCTACCTGCAAACTAGTAGTGAGGCCAGAAGTCCCTAGTAGCGTCCTTGCTCCCCGTAGACCGGCCAGAGGCCCCTATAGTAGTACCGTCCGTGCTCCTAGTAGCGATCTGTTGGCAACAACTTTGTACACATAACGCCAATATTGGCGTTCCGGAAAACTACTAGTCACCTAAAAGGCCTTAGAAAGACAGACCAAGAAAACAAAACAAGAGCAGACTAAGAGGGCAAGAAGGAAAGATAGGCATAGTGACGAGGCCCACTTAGTTAAATGAAAGTAGTTCGCGAGCGGGACTTTTGTCTTAGACCGCTCGGGTAGCGAGCAATAGATAGGAGAAACAGAAGGAAAGGCACCAACACACAAGTGTGTTGAGTGCGATTTCCTTTTGTTTCCCAAATAGCAGGTGGGATAGCAACAGAGGCCTGGGGTAGGGGGGAAAAAAGACACTAGATATTACTGCAAGTTCGAAGTCGGAACATGTAGTGACTCATAACGACACATGACGGTGCAAGTGGATTCAGTCTGTCAAAAAGGAATTCCATCGTTTATAGCCCGGCGGCTCGAAACTCCGTTAATTTTATACAAGTGGAAAACGTGGAATCAGTTATGAAAGTGGAAAACAGTGAGTTCCGGCATGGCTTCGGCGCCCCACTGAAGGGGTTCACACCCAGCACCCAAGTGGGAAGACTGAGCGGCTCACACTCTGACATTGGTTTTCAGTTAACTCAATTGCCACGATTTGAAGGAAGGTGAGAAACGGTATGGTGGAGAGTCCGCAATACTTGAAGATGTTTTAACAAAATAGCTGTTTCGCAAGTCTGCAGAACTCAACGGCAAACCTCTGGGGTCTGGAGGTCTTGAAGAGGAAGCAAGGCCAAAAGCTCAATGCGTGACTGCAGAAAAGGTTTAAAAAATTGAAAGGCTGGTACGTCAGTGCTGGCCGGGCACTGATATCACATCCACTTGGTGCGGTCTTTGGTAGATGAGGCACACCAAGGGATCCTCATCCCCCTGCTTCTTCTTTGCGCGCTTTGTACATGTTAAAAATTGACAAGCTGCACGCTCATAGCGATACTAGGAGCCTTTAGTAGCGAAACGGGGGCCCTTAGTAGCATCCTTTGTGACTCGAAACCTTAGGGACAGGTGTGGACACACACACAAACACTCACGCACGCACGCACCCCATCCAGCGCGGCATACTGTCACATGTCCATCCATGAAAAACAAACGAACAAATGTGTCCACCAGGTGCCTACCATTTCTCCCAGAACCAAGCAAGCATTGGCACGAATTCCGAGACTTGCCCATTTCTGGTCCATGAAATCCATGTGGCACGTGCGATGCACAAACGCACACGCACCGTCTCCTGAAAGAGTCCCAGTTGGCAGCGCTGCAGTGCCAGGTAAAACCGCGCGAGGCGCCCGGCATCGCCGTCCGGAAGGCACCTGCAGGAAGGCGCCAACGGATACCACGCCATGAGGCCGTGAACTGTTCGACACCCCGGGCCGCATGGGTTGCATTCATCAAGCTTTTCACGACCCAAGCAGTTTGCAAAGGGGCAAGCAAGCAAATCAGGCAAAAACCGCCGTTCCTTCTAGTTGCTGCACCAAACCTGAAAAATCTTCGATTTGCTTGCCTGGAACGCTCTGCCCGCGCGAGACACTGCCGCAGCAGCCGTTCCTCCTCCTCAAGTTGCCCTCGGGAACGGCACCGCACCGCCGCTTGCAGCAAAGCCGCGGGGCGCGCCCAACGACTCATAGGGCCGCGTGGGGTCCCAGCATGCTGGGAAGCAGGACCCGCTCGTGATTGCGTGTGTGTGTTTCATTCCCCGCATGTCATGAGACAAACCATTAACTGGGGGAGATTGTGGCGTCCTGATGGTAACTTCCACTTACGTCTTCCGAGTTCATAATTTGTTCCACCGCAGGAGGCCACGTGGCCCTCGGGAAAACAACCTTTACAGTATTCGCCCTGAAAGTCTGTAAACGCTACATCCAAGTCCTCCAGGTCTTAAACTAAACACCAATCAATACATACCTGGGTCATCCAATGGGTGTCCAATAGACTACCCTACACTGCTTGTGGACCTCCATTGGACACCCATTGGGTGATCCTGGTATACTGTAATTACATAAACGTATAATAACATACCCCTTGCAAATGGCGTGAAGCAAAGTAACTTTGTGGGTCTAGGACTTCAGGGGCCTGACATTTCCTGACTCGACTCGTTTCCATGTTTATGTCTGCATTTGCTTGGACACCTGACGCTGCTGCGGCCGCAGTGCCCTCCCAAGCTACCAAGTTGGATCCTTATAGAACTGGTGTTCTTGTCCAAAATAGGCAATGATGTAAATAAATGTGCGATACACAGACAGTCAGGCAGGGATCGTCATACATCTGCAGTTGACTGAGTCGACGGTCCCAAATCCATGTCGAACACTCCCATGAAAAGGCCGGAGTCTTTTTGCTGCAGTCTTTGCGAGTCCATTTCAACGAAGGTCCAGTCCACGGTGCTCTCTAGATATCCGTGCATTTGCACGAAACAACACGGGGAATCTCCAGTTGCGTCCCTTTTTTGTGAATGTTTTGGATGCCATATGCAGTTAATAGCACCAGAATAATCACAAAATGCTTCTAATTTAATCTAATTTACAATTAATTAAGGTTGTTGTTCTGTTCCTGTTGCTGTTGCCCACCGATCGCATCCAGTATCAACCAGCTGAAAGCCGATCGACAGGACCATGGTCCAGGATCGCGGACCATGGACCGCAACAATGAAAGCGCAGCAGGCAGCATGTCCGGGTCTCAGGTGGTGTGTTGGGTCTAACGAGCCTGCCTGTGTGATGCGCTACTTGCAGTAAGTAGCCACTCTCTAAGACTCGAAGAGATTTTCCCGACGATGTGCCAAGTGTCAGGATGCGCTGTCTACATCGCTCCCGACCCTGGCTATCTGGGCGCTTTTGCTTGTCGTTGTCTGTGCTCCTGCTCACGTTGTGCAACTCTGATGACTGTGGCCCCTTGTGCATTCCTCTGCATACATGTCCGACTTTCTTTGCCGGTTTTAACAGCGGGAGACACTTTAGTTTGGTGCTGAGGGCATGGCACAACTACCGGTCGAACGCGTCATCCGATTGGTCAAGAACGACGCTGCTGGTCCAGTAAGGCCAGGAGCCCCTAGTAGCGTCCTTGCTCCTAGTAGGAAGGCCAGGAGCCCCTAGTAGCGTCCTTGCTTCTAGTAGTAAGGCCAGAAGCCCCTAGTAGCGTCCTTGCTTCTAGTAGTAAGGCCAGGAGCCCCTAGTAGCGTCCTTGCTCCTAGTAGGAAGGCCAGGAGCCCCCAGTAGCATCCTTGCTCCTGCCAACGTCTCCCCCTACTGCAGTTTCTTGTGAATCACACTCGGTCCATGCCAGACGCCTTTTCTGATGCTTCACGGCGCCATCTCGCCCCAGTTGACAACCCTCTTCACCGCTCAGCGTTTTGGGTCGCCATAAGGGCACTGTGGGGCTTCAGGAAGACGGGGACCGCCACACCTGCGACGGAGGAGACGAGTCCACACCGCCAACCTGCATCTTGTTATTGGAGTATTGGAGTGCCATATTGGCTCTAAGAAACAATCTCAAACTGCAAAACGTTGATCAATGATGCAATGATAATCATCAACCGGTATGTAGTACGGATACTAAAATGCAACTGTCAGGGGATAATAGTTGCAGGGGCCATCAATTGAAACGTCAGAACGGCAAAAGCTGTCAGCATCGAAGATCCTTCTGCAGGTCCACGTTGGTGGCAAGTGCAAGGGGTTGCAACAGCATATTGGTATGTACATCTCTACATGAACAGCATGCCCTGGTTGTCCACGCGTTTGCTCCGATGGTGCCTCGACTGGAAGACTCGCTGGGCCCAGGACATGCGTCGGTCACACACGCGCTTGTTGCTGCGGGTGTGCCAGTAGTTGGTACCTCCCCATGCCGCCGGAGAGGTCATCCCAGCTGTTGCGGGGATAGTGGATGCACTGGAAAAGCGGAGGATAAAAGGAAGATTCCCATTCTTGTCGCCAGCGCATGGGATGGTTTCAAGGTTTTCTCCATCGACTTTTTGCAGGTTTATTGGATGGAAAGTGTCCTGACACCGGAAACATTGGGCCACAACAACATCTTGGAACAGTGTGGGGGTATGGCACTGGAATGTGTGAATGCATTGAACTTCCAGAAAATATTAGTCTAAAACATACAGAAACGAACTGACCCAACGTGACGCAGGTGCTCAATCCTTGGCAACCCGAAATCACCCCCCAAATCCCTCAGTGGTCTTCCCAAGCCCACTAGAGCGGAGCTGCTGAAAGCTGCTGAAATGATCCTTTTGCTTCGTGTCTCCGTAGCTGGTGTGATTCTGCAACGTCAAGCCCTTCCTCCGGTACCCTCTAGCGAGACTCGCCAAAGAGCCCGGCGTCAGCACTCCAGGACAAAGACACGCAAGAAAAAGGAATGCCGTTCTTGGAGGGGTTAATGGCACTGAGCTCCTCCAACACCTGCTTGTTCTCCAAATCCCACGACGGAGCTCATCGAATTCTCAGTGGTTGCGGGAGCGCATGCGTTGTTCCCACAGGGCTCCTGCAGTCAGGTCGACGCAAGGCACTGACTCAGTCTCCGGTGCAAACCGTGTTTTGAGGGGGAGCTGGTCCTCAACACATGGAAGGCCTGGTCCCGGATGTGTCCGGTCCTGTCCGCTCAACAAAGGCAACTCAAAGGCAACTCAACAAAGGGCTTTCCTACTGTCCATTACCAAGCCGATGCATACATCAATGTGATATGCTTGAATGCGCGTACTTCTTGCCAATGTTCATGATCTAAAGACTTATATAGGGACATATTCCATCTCTTCCAGTTCCAGTGAATGTTAAGTTGCTTCTGTTATCCATTTCCAGCATGCAAAGCCCCCTGATCGGAATGATCGGAGGCGTTTCTTTCAAGCTTAAAAACAGCTACGTGAGAAGTGGGAAACGCAAGGGCCCAAGAAACGCCTCCACGTGCCGCTGAATTTGTTGATCGAAGATCTGAACGGAATGAGTCGAGCGAAATACGTCCATCCAACGAGTAGTAGAGGTTCTTGCCCGTCCATAGCATCCCCAAGCACCGTGCCATCCATTCCATCCACCCGATGCGCACAGCGAGCCGTCGACACCGTGGTGGTGTAGACCACCCCGACATGCCCACCAACTTGGTGCGAAGCTTGCAATTGTTCAGTTCCAGACATTTCCAGACCTTCACCAACCTTGGCTACATCTGATGGTGTCCAACTTGGACTGATGATCCCCAACAAATAAGCACACATTCCCGGGGGGGGCCATACTAGCCAACGTGCGGAAAGACTCTTGAAGGCTGCTCGTGTTTTTCAAGGTTTCTGGTGGTGCAAGAGTTCTTTCATCGACTGGAGGATCTGGAGGTGCGATACAATAGCTAGAATCTCGGTGACGGCCTTGTTTGGAGTATACAGTAGTATGGACCAGTATGATCCAATATGGATAATCTAATCATGCTTGTAGACCTCCCACAGTGATTCTAAATTTACAACATGTCCATGGAAGTCCGACCGAAAATGGTCATTTGCTCCTCGCTGTAACCGTCGTCTAGAGTTCCAGGATTGCGAGCGCCGGTGGCCAATTCGACCCAGGCGACACAGCTGGTGACCGACGGGTGATGCAAAATGCCAAGGGATCCCGAAGCCATCCGAAGCCTAAGCCAAGCAGCTTATACCCACCTGACACGATCAAAGGCATCATCGCTGAAGGGGGGAAGTCCACTGAGCTCACCCAATTAGTGTGCATGTCATCCGCGACGACGGTGTATTTGCCTTGGATTTGCTTGATTCAGGAGGGAAACATCTTCCAAAAGGAAATTCTCCCACGGGGACACGAAACAGTGGTCCAGCAAAATCAGGCTGCACTCGGCCAAGGTATTCCACAACTTGATGGTTTTGGCCCGGCTGCCAGAAGGCACCGCTGTTCACATCCTTGCTGATGTGACCTTTGAAAGTTCGAATAGTAGAGCCGGTGTTCAGGTCCCAAAGACGCATGGACTTGTCCCAGGATCCGACCAAGGCCATCCCAAGACAGCACAGCACTCTTGCCACGTACTCACCGTGACCATGAAGACTACGGCAAGCATACCCGGGGTTCTCACCCTCAGGGGTCAGCTCCCAAATCACTCATGTCTTGTCCAATTTGCTCAGAACGACCGGGAGCAAGACCGCTCTCGGGTGTCGGGATCCGCTCGCGAGGCACATGGGACGTTGCTCTGGGTCACCACGTGCATGTGATGGCAGTGACCCAGTTGCGGTGTCCCGTAAGGATGCCAAGCTACTGCAAGGAATCAGAAAACATTGGACAACAAATCCAACCAATGGCGGGAGCATCTCACCTTTGATCTGACAGAGCTGTTTCAGCCTAAATGGCCACAGTTGTTGAGTTGGTTCCCACGAATCCAAAAAATCAGCTCCTCCCAGAACCCCAGTACCGCCAAGATTCCAATAGTTTGAAGATGCTCCAAGCATGGAATAAGTAAAGTAATATCGGGGCTATAGACGGATGACGGATGATCTGGCAGGATAGTGTGGAACAGCTCGAATAAATCTGAATAAATCAGCTGCTTCAATTTTACCATATTGCACCAAAACTTCCAGCTTTGTGTGGGATTTAGATGGATTTAGACCCTTCCAGTGGGTGGATCACCCAAGCTGAGCCCCTGCAAAAACCGTTCCACGGAACTCCCAGCGAGTCCCGACCTTGACCACGATCTGTGGCAGTGTTGTACTCCTCGAAACCCTTCTTACCTCATTCGATCTCACTCAGAGAAGACGCAAGGACATAAACCAAAAGTGAAGTTCCACCTGCCAATGCCTCTCCTTCCAGCAAATCTGGGTATGGTACAAACATGTATACAAACTCTAGACTCTAGACCCAGATTTGTTTCCCTCAATCCCCCATGTTTTGCTTTGACATTCCTTGACCCTTTGGACGCCGTGAGTGCATCTGCGTGCATGCGCTCTGTGTGCATCTCAGCGCGGCCCTTAGCCCAGCTGCAACGGTCTTCGAAGTGATAGTTGTGTGTCAGCTGGTCCAGGGTGATCTCACCTGCAAACTCCTTCCTGGCGAATGGCCGCGTGGCCAGCCACGCATGGCCGTGGAACACAAGAGTCCGGCTGTCACCATCCCCAGCTGAAACTGACCGTGAATGTGCAATCCAAGTGTTCGCTCGGTCTAAAAATTCCAAGATCATCCAAGCCTCAGGGCCTTGGGGTTTGAGTTGGTGCAAGTCTTGGCTTTCACTTCTTCAACTGCCAGGATGCACAAGGGGCAACAAGCAGCTCTCAAACTCTGCATCAGTCGTCAGTCATCGTATCTCCACGGGACTGAAGAGCCCGTCTTCGACATGCCCAACGGTTTTCCCACATCCTCCCGTTCCGGGTCCCGGAACAGGGCACCGTCCTCCAGGTGCAAGTCTTGGACCAGGCTTGGCCCGGCTTGCATTCGCCTCCAGCCTCTGAACAGCCTTGCCTGCCAGGCGTCGATGGCAGCTGGGTTCGTTTTTCCCGGGCCCAACTGGTGTTGGCCCAATGTTGTCTGGCTTGTTTCATCAGCATGAACGAAACACGTCGGGAGTGTTGATTCAGTGGTAAGCGAAAAGAGCCGAGCGGATCCAACCAGGTTGATAGTTCTGCTTGCCATTTCACACTTGGACCCCCCGATGAGGGAAGCTAATTATCCCAATTGCAGTCCTCGACAGGTGTGGCTCTCCAAGTCAAGCGACATCAGTTTGGACGGCGTGTTTGGGGTAAGCCCATGATCACCGACAACAGAGCCTCATTCCCTGGAAAAACCGTGGAACATCCACACACTCTCCGAGAAGGATGTTGTGGAGACATGTTGGAACCTATCACCCAGATAGACTTCCAGCTCCAAGTTGGTTGATTGTTGCAGTCCAACACTACTGTATCTTCTGAAACGATCAAAGTTCAAAGGAAGAACAAGTCTCAGCTCTCCAAAACCGCACGCCGAGAGGCTTTTGTTGAAAGCTCTTGGATGGACAAGCTCCAGGAAAGCTGTACCACGTGGCTTGGGAGTAGGCCGCATGTTGAAAACTGGGCCTATCGCAACCTGAAGCACGGCTTGAAAGGCGGTGCCGCATGGCGGAGCACCAATAATGAGTCACGTCATTATTGTTTCACACCTGCCCGACCTCTCGATTTCACTCCAAGGATTGGCAGGTTGTTTGGTGGGGGGCTGGCCAGGGGAATGAACACTGTCAGAATAAGGGTTTTGAGTCTAGGGCTTTAAACCTTTTGAATGCATAACGAATCTTTGCCCAGGCCCATCTGCGAAATATCTGGATCAATCATGTAGAAGCCGTTCTTTCCCTGCACATGGCAACTACCCGCGCGGCTCATTGAACAACTCATGCCAAGTGGCCCACCACAAAGCCATACTTCTGGTAATCATCCTTGGAGGCTCGACGGCTTGGACGATTCATCCAATGTCGCTTCACCAAGCGGAGCGCCCTTCACTGAAGCTCCGACATGTTTTTGGCCAAGCGGAGCGCCATTCGACACCGAGCTCTCAATATCAGCTGTCTGACCCTTGGCACCCCGATATCAACTCTTCAGACTTCCGGGGTGACCAACGAGAGGCCTCTGCGACCGAAAGATTTGACCATAACGCCAAGCATCCAAGACCGGCTTGGGGCCAGTACAGGCACCACTGTCAAAATGGCACAACGGAGCAAAGACCTGCGAGGCACGAGTGAAATCGAAGCACTGATCCAACTGGATAGATAAGAAGAAGCCCCACCATCTTCATCTTCAGACTTCAGAGTCTTTAAGAACACCAACCTCAAAGATCATGAGCCTTTTCGCCATCAGGTCAGATGAAAGTGGGAAGTCCCTCACACCCAATGAGCCAAAGGCGCCCTGTGGCCTGTGAACCTGTGAACCCCGCCAGCCTTCTTGGTGTGTTCCAACTCAGGCGTTGGCATCATGGTGATCTTGTATCCTCAGCGGCGGGCTTTCACTGATCAACTAAACATTAACCCCACAGGGCCCGAAGGATGTTTATCTCGAACGTGTGTGTGTGTGTGTGCAAACATATAATTATATTATATAATATATACTGATATCCACTGTCACTTCGTACCCAATTTTGGAGATCCAAAGTCACCAGCAACAGATATTGAACAGTTGGGTGCCTTAAACACCAACACCCACAGTACGTATCATGTCACCCGTCTCTGTACTGGACAACATGACGGAATTTACCCAACACCTGCGTTTGTCAAGTGTGACCAGATTCATGGTACGTTCGAAACACTGCCAGAATGTCTCAGAATCAAGGACTCACCGGGTGGCATGGTGGGTGGTTCAACATGGGAGATAGGCAAACCATGGCAAACCCGAATCCAGCCAATCTTCGCGGTTGTGTGCCATGTAGATCACCCACAAATCCGAAGCTCGCACCCATCTCGCTCGCACCCAGTGGCCCGTGCTGCACGACACCCAAAAAAGACGCCGCCCAAAATCGGCTTGCGGCATAGACTGCCATCGGCATACACTACCCAGAAATCATCATGGAAGTGGAACATGAGCCTCCGGGAAGAGCCTTTTCCTCTATGAGCCTCCGGCCCCATGGCTTCCGGTTTGGGGGAAGGGATGGGGAGGGTAGAGGTGCACGCCTTCGCCCAGGCACTCAGGATCCGCGTGACGCCGAACTTGCGAGGGCAATGGCCCACCACCTCGCTGTGGAGGTACCAAAGGACCTCCAGCGCGGCTGGGCTCAAAGCGCTGCAGTGCGACCGGTGCGTGGGCCGTCCGGAGAAGCCGGGTTCGCCCTTGATCAGTGGAGATTGGTCCAAATCTGAAAAGCGACTTGAGTTCTTGACCCCCTGATTGACTCCTGCTACATGTCCCCCTCTTGGGGAACGCCAAGGAGCTCCGGCCAAGTTTGCCATGTTCACGTTTGTGTCTCCGTAGTTCTGGTCATTCTTCGCACGGTAGACCTGGTGATGATGTGGAGACAAAAAGCAATGATGGCAATGACAGGCCAAGTGTACTAATGCTGTGAGCGCGCTATACAACTCCTAGTCCCAAGTTACTACTGATCGCACAGCTTGAACTTTTGGTCTTGACATCCTTTCTGTGCTTCCAACGAAGAGTCCCAATCTGGGTTGGACAGGACCACTACTATCCTAAGCTGAACATGAACCTAAAGGAAAACAGGGGAGCACCTCTGCGGGTGGAAGGAAAGCCATCCTTCCTCCTCCGCTGCTTGCTGAACAACCCGTTTTGTCCAGCACCTATCCTAAGTCTTTGCACTAAATCATTGTATAACTCCTCAGTTCCGAGTGTCCGCTTCAGGTGGTCCATGATACCCATCTCGCTCCCTTTGAAAACCGCTCCCGTCTTCCCGAGGCACATAGAAGGTGTAGGGCCCAGCCGTGGCATTGCTGTCCTCCATGGTGGCCTCTGTGTCGTCCTCGCGTTCCCAGTCGTCGAGCTCCAAGGTGGACATTGGATCTCCCCCTGCATCAACTCACGTCGATCGACGCCATCGACCGGTTGCCACAGCGGTTGCACCAAACAATGGTTGTGTGGAGGAACGTCACATAGATGCTACAACGCCCAAAAAGCCTAAACCACGCAGAAGGAGCAGGGTGGATGGAGGGTGGATGGCTGCCCTATAGGCCCGCTCAGGGCCCTATCGAGAGGAGAGTGTTTTACATCTGTTGGATAGTCCTAAAATACACACACATCTGGGAGAGTTCTTGTTTGTTTGACACTACAGATCGGAGCGAATGCACTACTCACGTGTGAATCTCTCTCTCTCTATATGTATATATATATATTACACATATATAACTTATATGATTATATAATATACACAGTGTATGTATACCCCTATGAGCCCGGCAGAATGAACATGTCAACTCATGCCACACTCCATCCAAATCCACCACATCCAATCCAAGGCAAGGGACGCAGCTGGCGTAAGGACAAGCTGCAGGTCTCATTTTCGGCACACTCATCCTCCAGGCCCAGGTCGTGCACATCGCCGTGCGCCAGGCTCCATAGTGCGGCGAGACCCAACGCCAAGAGACGCGACATCTTCGAGGTGTTCTGCCTCACCGGGTCAGCCCCACCAATGGGCCGAACGGATTTGGCCAAGCGTTGGACTTCAGCGCGCGCCCAACGGGCGGAGTCCCATTGTTTTGACACTCTACCTGATCAAATGTCATTGATTCGTTGTGAACATCGCCGGGGCCAATGACAAAAGGGGGCTAAACGCAACTGATATCAACTAATTAGTGTCCAACATTGGTGCTCCAACAACCCTCCAACCGTTTGGGTTTCAGACAGGCACATGTTGATTGCGATGGCGAACTGGGAGGCTTCCCTAAACGAACAACATACACATACGCACCCACATGCCGCATCGTGTATAACGACATGGGAAGCACCTTGTAAAGTCGCGCAGCGGCTGGCGGGAAAAAAAGGCTGGGTCGCACCAGGCAGCAATCCTCCAGAAGGAAGGAAGGCTAGGTCGCGTCAGCTGCTATTGAGCCCAACGCTGAAGAGCACAATCAAATGGTTCACTGTCTCTGGAGTTCACAAAAAGAACGATCAGACGATCATCCAGGAGATAAGCAATCACTCTAATGTGGTTAGTGGTTACATTGGTGTACATAAATGCCTTGCTTGTGTCTTAGCCCTCATTATTTCACATTGAAACTAGCACCACTCAGATTCTCTCAGGAATGAAATCAATGCACAGTCTCGCCACCAGGCACGAAGGCGGGGTAATATCCTCAATTTGGGAGAAAGCCGAACCAACCACTACCACCCTATAGCTGAAATAACATCGTTTAAGTCCCCAGGGCTAGTCTCTGGCCCGCATATGATGTTCAGATTGCTTTCCTTTTTGCAGAGTCAACCGTCTGAAGTGTGCAATTGTTCAATCAAATCCCAATTATGAGATGCTCTTTCAATCTGTCTCCATGACAGTCAGGCCAAAATCCTGTGGATGTGTCTCACATGTTTGGTGTTACTGGTGCAAGGGGAATTGGACACACATCCTGGAACGTTCAGCACGGTGAGTGAACAAGGGAGTGAACCATAGCCCTTCCAAAAGCATCCCCCCAACCCAAAATCCTCGAACACTGTATGAACCCTTCGGTGGTGAAAAGCATTTCAGCCAACCTGCTTGCCTGGCCCCACACCAGCTGCTGGCAGGCTTCAACTGCGCTGGCCGTCGCTGGCAGCGGGGTAGGCTCGACCACCTTCAGAAACAATAGCCTGGACCAGCAGTCCTCTGCATGGGACCATGCAGTCTTCTGCAAGGGGTTAATAATTGCACTTTGGGAAGAGGCCCAAACACACACATAGTATAACAATATAATATATATATATATAATGTATCCAAACGGGTGTTGTTAAGGCAGTAGCAACAATGCCTCATGTCATGTGTACATATACATGGCCATACAGTACCTATAAACATTCTATAGAAAAGGGCGCGTACTGCAGGAATGTGAAAAAATGTGAAAATCCATGATTCTTGGAAGGGTGACCCGAAGAACTGGTCCACCATCTGCAAGGTCTTACGTGAAAGAGGCGCTGGAAAAAGGCAAAGGGTTTGTCGTTCTCCTTCTGTGAATTGCCTGCTGTGTTCCATGCCTCGGGAGCAAGAGTTGTCGCAGACTCTGAAGTTCTGACGTTTCGGGAACTTTGCAACCTTATTCGGAAAACCATGTTGATCTTGTCGAAGGATCCTTCAGCTGCTGCGTTTCCGGGCGCTTTTAATAGACGCGTCCTCCCACAAGGATGCATTGATCATGCCTTTCCTTCGGTTGCACCCGAAGGGTACCAACTTGTGGCTAATTTGCTTGCGGCCGAACGTTGGAGTCTTGGGAGGTTCGGTCTGCGACTTTTGAGTCCATCTCTGTCGGTTTGTAGTTATGCTTCGGCCTGTGTCCCGTGCATATGCTAGACGCGTTTCACGCGAGATCTGGCGCGAGAGGTAGTAAGGAATGTGAAAACAACCTCCAGCCCGGAGCAGTTTTGAATCCAACTGATAAGGCATGGCATAGAACAAACTAAACATCATGTGAGACGACGTTTGGAGCACGTGGGATTGCTGCGCTGTGCTGAGGCCCCCCCGAAATACAAAGATTCGTTCCTCTATCCGGCTGTGACGCAGTTTCAGAGTAGATGTCAAAAGTCTTCGGTCTACGTCAGGTTGGATGTGGTGTACAAACCACCAATCGGATTCATACCATTCATGGACAGCATATTATTATACATTATTGCATATCAAGGATTACTTTGGCACTTGGATTTGTAGGAACATCCGCACTTCTCACTGCACCTGTTAATTAATGCTGTGGAGCTACTAGAGCGATTGGGCTACACCCAAAGCAACAAAACGACTGCCGGCCATCAGCCCTGATGCATGATTCAAGGTTAATGTTTCAACCCACAAACGTGACGGAACCTAACCGAGACTATACTTCCATCTAGGAGGGGAAAATATGACTTGTCAAAGTGATGATCTGTGGGTGCACCTGCCACCTGCTGGTCAAAACGCCTTGCGACCGAGTGGCAGCTCTTCCGCGTCATCGCAAACGCATCGAACATCCGCCACTTTGGCACCACTGAAGCCCATGAGCTGCTCATTTTGGAAGGTGATCGACCTGGAGATGGAACTAGCGGAATCCGCCATACTTGGGTATGAAAAGGTGACGCTGGAGGCAAGGTCTGAAACCAAAGGGCCCACTCTTAGGCCCTAGGCAAAAAGCTGTTCGCCACATTGGCCTCACACCTGTTCGCCGGAAAATCATTCAAACAGCTTTCGAAGCTCTTTGACCAACTCCTGACCGGTTTGAATCCACCTTCTTTCAGCGCCACATTTGGCCAACAAATCTTGGCATCGTTTAGTGGTACATGTGCGCATGTCAAAACCATCTCCAAGAATGGGGTGCGAACGGCGAAGGAAGGGAGGAGGACCTTCACCGCATGTCACCGGGAGGTTCCTCTGCCCCGCCTGCAGTTGGGCACTGAGCTGCGGACCAAGCGCTCGACATCCATGCCCTGTCGCGCTCTGTCGCGCGACGAGCGGCCGAAGAGATGAGGAGTGGATGTCGAGCGAAGAAACACCAGTGGGTGTGGGTTCTCCGTGGGCCAATGACTCTCACGGGTCGACTATGGATGGCAATTGGTTGGTAGCAATGATTTCCGATGATACGAGTCGAGAATCCCTCTTCTATTATATTCCGCAAACACTCCATGGGACTGCCACATATGCCGCCCCATTGACCCCCCTGGCACTTCCCCAACTGATCGGCGCTGCTGGAGTGTCTGGGTTCTATGATTTTCGGGGTCCTGGTGGCTGGCTCATTCCGCAGGAGAGTGGCTGGCCAGCCACATGTGGCTGGCTGGTTGGCTGCGGGTACTTTACTGGCTTGCTAAAATTCACCAAGTACCTGAAATGCAGGTCCCTAGCAGAATGCCACATATCCATTATCCACCACCCAAGAACTTACAAGCTAAAACATATCAATATTATATATATATATGAATATAGTGTGTTCACTGTATTCACCTCGAACTTCACATGTATTTGGAACTTCTGCGAACTTACTTTATATGCCTTGTAGGATTCTTGGGAACACGCAGTCAAAAGTCAAAACACATTACTCAAAAACAGCAGCGAGACTTTCCACAACAAACGGCTTTCATGGACTGTCAAACCAAAACGTAGACCCGGAACACAATTGAAAACAGGCTGTTCATCGATTGGGGACTCCCTGTTTCTCAAAACATCAGGCCTTGGCTGCAAAGCTGATGCCTGCGACATGCCGGATCGAACGGAGCGCTCCGGAAGCGGCTCCCGACCATGCGCCGTCGCTCCCTGAGGGGTCACTAGCACCCCCTCCAAATGTCGGACGGACTGAAGCTGCTGCTCAATACTAGCTTCTTGTTACTGCTAGTAAGGCACCTGTTACTACTAGCGTGGCACTTGTTACTACTAGCTTCTTGTTACTAAAGAAAGACAAAAGCTCAAGAAAGCAGGAACTTTCTGTGTGGACACTTGGCGTCCGTCCGCAAAGATGCAACTTGGGGTACAAATCGACCAAACACTGTTTACCCGCAAGAAGTATGAATTTTCACAACCCCTCCCGAGTTCAAAAAAAGTAAAATATATTTTCTTGAGAGTGTGACGGAGTGTTAACCACTTGCTTTTTGGACTAGGAGGATTTTTGCAGCTGGTTCCTTCAATCAGACATTCTGAGGCCATTTTCCTTCATGACATTGTTTGCTCAGGTGACGCGGGGCACAAGCAAATAACACACATATGCAGATGTGAAAAAGTGTCAGAAAAGGAACTAATTTGGGAATTGGTGAAACGTTTGCCGAATTGACTTTTGTTGAAAAAAAGTCACTCAATCCAATCTCCTGTTCGTCCATCTGTCCTGACAATTATTGCCTGGAGCGCGCTGTGTGCTCTTTTTTTTTGCAACCAAACCAAACCACGCTGCTTTGCGGCATCCCTGCTAGAAATACGCAGGGAGAAGAGTTGACGGCAATGGTCACAGGAACTTGCACGTGGAACGCATTATTTTTTGTTTGTCAAGAAACCTAAGCAAACGTAACTGTTTAAAACACATATTATATAATAGCAGAAAGATATAGACAGATTGAGCAACACTCCGAAGAATGCACCGATTTTTACTATTTTTGCTGAGAGCAAAGCTCCACATAAAAACATACAGCAGAACTTAAGATATTAAGAATTTGCCCGCCGCAGGCGCATACTTTTTTAAATCAGGATTTGCCCGCCGCAGGCGCAGATTTTTTTGAGCACCAAAGGCCTAATTATTCCTATATGCTTCTTATAATTTGATTGTTTGCGTGTTCCTAAATTGGGTGCCCAAAAATACAAATGTGTGCCTGCGGCGAGCAAATTCTTAAGTTCATAATTGGTTAAACTTGTTCTTTTTATGTTTTGCTCCCGGAAAACAGTGTAAGAATACAGTTGTTTCTTATGCAGTTTGTGTGGGGCTTTGCTGCCGGGAAAATTATAAGAAAACGTTTCAAAAACACATAAA